CCCTACACTGCCAAAAACCTCAGTGTTACCGTTCTTGAACAGTTAAAGGAAAAAACTATTAAACAGAGCTTCAGCAATCAAATTATTCTTGAGCCTTGTTGTTAGGAGGCAATGGGAAAACTATAAACACTGACTCCCTCCCCATGCTTTTTTGGTCTCCAGTTCCTATTGCATCTCCTCAAAATGCACAGAGATGGGGGGTTGTGTGTGTACCATTTCTGTTGTCCAGGGACTCCTGACAAGTGATTTTTAAAGATACGAGAACTGAGAAGATGACCTGAGATAGATCCCCCACATTGGCAAAATGTTTTCACCAGAAGTGGGTGGCTTCTTGAATTGTAAATACAGTCCTATGCCCCTGAGCAGCTTGTCTTGTTTTGTTGGTGTGGGTTTTTTCCCTGTTGGGATCAAAGGCAACACATACCTACCTGCCTTTTAACCAAAACTGGTTCTTCCACCCATGAGGCAGGTAAAAGTAGAAGAGATTTTACTGCCCTGTGAGGCAGTGGGCTTTTGAGCGACATGCAGGGATGGAAGCGGAGTGGGTTGACTGCTGTTGAAGAGACCAAGAGGCGACAGACAGGCCTGATGGTGAATACCGCGCAGATGCTCTTCAGTCTGACCGTGCCGAATCAACGTGCTGCCTTGTCTCCGTGGCAGGTACTGCCCTTGTGAAGGGAGACTGCTCTTTTCTCAAACACACAGTCTTGATTACAGAAGAGAGACTTAATAAGAGGAAAATGCTCTTGGCATCTCTTTATTCAAGCCTCATCCTTGGATCTAGTTCATGTCCTTCACAAGTAAGACCGAGATCCCGTGCAGGTCGAGCGAACCAAGGGCCGTGAGTTCCCCTGCCCTCCCGAGGGCATGCCCAGCTACAGAGCAGGAGGTCACTGCGTTTCCACCAGAGCTGATATTTGGGATGTAAAGGTCTGCTGCAGTCAGACCACAACTTACCAACGCACTGGCCAAGCACAGAAGCTTTGGTTGAGTAGCCGGCACAGGAGCCCAGTGTGATTCTTGAAGATCTTCTGAAGAGTTTCCCCTCTCAGCCTCCGCAAGCGTTTGTAGATGGAAATTACCAGCTATTAAAACACTCGCCTTGCAGGGGTTTTCCCCACCTCCGAGAACGAGTTAAGGACAGTTTAAGTGGTCAGCTTGACTCTGTCAGATGCAGGAGCCTCGGGCTGCGTGGTGTCGTTGGCCACCACCTTGGCTTCTCCGTACGCGTCTATGCATTTCCTCACTGCCTTCAGGACAAGCTGCAACCGTCTGTCTAAAGCCAGGAGATGGGGTTCGGTGAGGACAGGTGCCAGGCGGTCCTGCAGGAGGGATTCCCTCATCACGTCGCTGAGCCGATATTCGGGCTCAGCCAAGAGCTGGAGTCGTAATAATGTTGTCCTCTTTATTCTGGAAAAAAAAGAAATCAGACATCTTAGCGCAAACTTCTTGCGAGAACCGGCTGCCTGAGCCCCTTGGGAGGGAGGGAGGGCAGAGATGGGTAAAGATACTTGACAAAGAACTTTGGAACAAAAGCTTTCCCTTTCTGAAGGAGACGAAAATTTTTGCAGAAACCTCTGCTGCTTTGTTTTTTCAGACTGCAGAGTATTTGTACTGCAGATTTCTGTTATCAGAGAGAAAAACATGATAGAAGTTCTCAGTAATGCGTGTTTTTCCTCTGAGTCAGAGATGACCCAGTTCCCCCGATGACTGCAGGGTGGTGCCATGTTCCCAAGGATGACATTTATGGGGTGGGGGCCGAGGGGGAGGTAAAATGAAGAGGCATGAATGAGAAAAACATCTTCTGTCAAAGCTCTGAGCAAAAAGGGAATATTTTCTGGAACTGATTTAACTGTGACTTTTCACCTTAAGAGGTACTGAGATTTAAATATTACTCCCTTTTGACAGAAAGTGGGAATAAAAGCTATAATCTTAGAACACTTCTGGGAATGAAACTAAGTATTCTGAAATAATTTGTTTAATCCTCAGTGAAAGTGTTTTGACTTCAGCATCTCTAATACTGAAATTAATCAGTGGTTTTAATTACTGCCCTTTAAATTTTGGAAACAAAGTAGTCTGTGTTCATGGAGCCATTCCTATGTAGCTGAGCCAGAATTTTCAGATGGAAAAAGGTGTAGTCAGAAAGATTTTTTTTAAAAAAAAAAAACAAAACCAAAAACAAACAGCTCCAGAATTTGCCTTTGTATGCCTGTTATTTATTCAGGCCATCGATTGGGAACGGAGATCTGGCTCTCTCCTACTGTAATAGGACACATGCTGTTCAGATGCCAGGGGAAGGGCTTGTTGCTGCTGCTGTGCCCGGCCGGGCAGTCCCTGACTTGCACCGGGTGCCGGTAGCGCTCTGGAGCGGCCGGGCGAGCTGCGTGTCTGTGGGCAGCGA